TGCATGCACCCCCCCCCCCCCCCCCCTGACACACACCACATGCCCACCCTGTCCTACACTCCTCCCACACACACCTTCAACCCTCGTACCCAACTTCACAATACAAAAGAGTAAGACTTTATTTTGAGCTATTATGCAGTCACATTCGCTACTCAGAAAAACAAATCCTGATAAAAAAATATTTTTGGAAATAAAATTAAAATATGGTTTAGCAGATGGTTGATATGTAGTATATGACTTATCATTTTAACAAGTTACAGATAAAGAAACATTTTCTGAAAGATTTTACGTGTATGGCCGTTGATAGCTTACCAAAACCCATTAAGTAGTCTTCCAGTTGAAATAATTGGCCATCCCTACTCTATAGCAATAGTAGGTGGTGGTTTAAATATGGCAGATTGAAAAGCAAATTGGGTGATTATGTCTGTTTCTATATTTGTGAGAGTCACTCAAACTGTAGAGTTCACATCTAGTTTTTAAAACTCTAAAATCTGTTTGAAGTTTTGGTTTTTCATTCAGGTCACTGCAAAGCATAGGGCCATTTGTATAACTTTTATATTGAGTTATCTCTGAAGCTTAGAGGTTAAAGTAATGTGATATTTTGTTCTGGGCCAGTAAAGCAGGTTCTACCCAGTAAACTTCTGGTTCTGTGGGCTGAATGAGTGGTATGGGGATGGTTGTGGGGGGCCAGATCCTGTATTGGGTCAGTCCATGGGTGCAGTCCAGCACGTCAACCCAACCTTGCATGCCTAGGGTTGGTCAAGGTTGGACAGGCTACAGTCGGACCTTGACAGGTTACAAGGATGGGCGGAGGAGAACAGGATGGGGTTCAACTCAGACAAGTGCAAGGTGATGCACCTGGGGAGGAACAACTGGCACCATACCTATAGGCTGGGGAACTCCCCTCTTGTCAGCATGGAGGTGGAAAAAGATCTTGGAGTCATTATTGACTCCAAGATGAACATGGCTAGGCAGTGTGGGGAGGCGGCTAGGAAGGCCAACTGTACCTTGTCGTGCATCCACAGATGCATTTCAAGCAGGACCAAGGAGGTGATCCTCCCCCTCTATGCGGCACTGGTCAGGCCGCAGCTGGAGTAGTGCGTCCAGTTCTGGGAGCCGCACTTTAAGAGGGATGTGGACAGCATCGAGAGGGTCCAGAGGAGGGCCACTCACATGATCAAGGGACAGCAGGGCAGGTCCTATGAGGAAAGCTTACGGGACCTGAACCTGTTCAGCCTCCAGAAGAGAAGGCTGAGGGGGGAATCTTGTGGCCTGCTATAAACTAGTCAGGGGGCAGCAACAGGCACTGGGGGAGTCCCTGTTCCCCCGAGCGCCGCCAGGAGTGACCAGGAATAACGGTCACAAGCTGGCGGAGGGAAGGTTTAAGTTGGACATCAGGAGGCGCTACTTCACGGTCAGGGCGGCCAGGGTCTGGAACCAGCTTCCAAGTGAGGTGGTGCAGGCCCCCACCCTGGGGGTTTTTAAGAGGAGGTTAGATGACCATCTTGCTGGGGTCGTTTGACCCCAGTACTCTTTCCTGCCATGGCAGGGGGTCGGGCTAGATGATCTGCCTAGGTCCCTTCCGACCCTAGAAACTATGAAACTAAGATCTGACTGTGAGCTGGCCCAACCCCATATGTCTGGATCTGGCCAAGCAGGTCCACATTATCTAGCCCCTGGGACTCCCCAGGGGTCTGGAAATTTAGCAGCAGGGGAGCAACAAATAATGTAGTCACCACTCCCACCTCATATTTATAAGTGATTTTAGCATATTCCATTTTTAGAGCCTAATACTTGTCTCTCTACTTTTCCAACAGCCAAGATTCAAGGTATGAAAAATGCTGTTCCCAAGAATGATAAAAAAAGGAGAAAACAGCTGGCTGATGATGTTGCCAAACTGGAGGCAGAACTGGAGCAGAAACATAAGGAAGAACTAGAGCAGTTGAAAGAGAATTTACCTGAGAAGAATAAGGTATAAGTCATGTTTAACCTTGCTTGGAAACTTTTAGGGGCAAGTTTTAATTTCAGTAACCTGACATTAGGTAGCTGAGAATTAATTTATTAACGAAATACTAGATTTAGGGCACAGAACCTGTTTTTTGTACCTTTCATTATTGGGGTGAACATAAATCCTTTACTCAATTTTACCAGATTTTCACTACTGTGCCCCTTAAGCGTACGTTACATTACTTTCTGCTATGAAAAGAATTACATCAGCAGCAGAAGTATAGTGTCATTATAATTACATCAGCAGCAGAAGTATAGCACCAGATGGTGTTTAGATATAGTTTCCTGGTCATGTATTTCACATTAATTATCTAAAATAAAGCAATTTTCTGTGAATTATAAAGAACTAAAGTATCTGTCTATTTAGGGTCAAGTAAAAAGAATAAGGTCTTTACACCGAAGAGTTTACAGTCTCAGGATCTGATGCTGCAAACCTGGTGGCTGAGAGAACTGCCCTAGCCAGCTCCTGGGACCTAGCGTGTAGGCACCCCCAATACGCGTGTGTACCCATCCCCCTACACATGCATGGACACATGCATCATGGAAAAGTCATGATTTGATTAACTCAGTTTGTGGGTTAATCGTCCAATTAATGATTGGGAATTGTCCGAGACCAAAGGAATCTCATGATGCTCAACAAGGACGCATAAGATGGAAGAATCCCATGCATCTTTACAGGCTGGTGGCTGACTGGCTGGGTAGCAGCTCTGCAGAAAAGGACCTGGGGTTATGGTGGACAATAAGTTGAATATAAGCCAATGGTGTGCCTTTGTTGCCAAGAAGGCTAACAGCATACTGGGCTGCATTGGTAGGAGTATTGCCATAAGATAAAGGAAAGTGATTATTCCCTTCTATTCAGTACTGGTGAGGCCGCATCTTGAGTATAGTGTCCAGTTTTGGGCTGTCCGCTACAGAAAGGATGTAGACAAACTGGAGAGAGTCCAGCAGAGAGGGCAACAATATGGTGAAGGGGCTGGGGCACATGACTTTTGATGAGAGGCTGAGGGAACTGGGCTTATTTAATTTAGAGAAGAGAAAACTGAGAGGGGATTTAATAGCAGCCTTTAACTATCCGAAGGGTGGTTCCAAAGAGAATGGAGGTAGACGTTTCTTAGTGGTGACATGACAGAACAAGGAGCAATGGTCTCAAGTTGCAGCAAGGGAAGTTTAGGTTAGATATTGGGAGGAACTTTCTCACTAGGAGGGTGATAAAGCACTGGAACAGGTTATCTGGAGAGGTTGTGCATCCATCCTGGGGGGGGTTTAAGACTGGGCTAGACAAAGCCTTGGCTGAGATGATCTAATTCAGGATGGTCCTGCTTTGAACAGGAGGTTGGACTAGATGGCTTTCTGACATCCCTTTCACCTCTATTTTTTTATGATTATGATTTTGTTGAGATTTCTAGACCGCTGGGGAGACCCATGGACCAGATGACATGGTTTTGGTCTCAATATAGCCCCAGGAGCTGGAGGTTGAGCACCACTGGATTAATTTGATTTAACTGTAAAGAAAAAGGGATGAGGACCTAATAAGTGATAAATAATGGTAAAGTGACGGAAGGGATGCAAACAAAACTTTACATAAATAAATGTAGTTCTAGAGTTGAATCAGAATCAATTGTGTAAGACATGAAACTCCAGGGTTGTAACTGGAATAGACTGGGTATGTCTGCCATATTTCAAGAATTTATTTTTGATGTTCTATTCTCATTAATATTAACTTAATTCCAACATATTTTGTTTCTAGATAGATTCTGTGGCGGATGGTGTTGCAAGTTTGGAGCTTGATGGATCAGAACAGCAGATTCAGCAACCTCGAATATCAAAAGCACAGAAGAGGAGGGTATGAGTCCAGTATCAATGTTTTCTTTAAAGGAGTGCTGACATTTTTGCACTACAGTGTTGGCTGATATTTGACTTCATTCAACATCAGTCTCCCGTAGAGCTCATTAGGCCAACAGTTTTCCAGTGGACTGTACCAAGGCTAACGAAGTGTGCAGGTGGCTTTCTTGTATGATGTTTTTGTGTTACAAATCAGCAGGGCTGCCACCTAGAATTCTGTGGATATTTTAAAATAGTACACTTGAGTAGCATGTTGACTTCACACTCATTTTGAGAGGGTAATTTCATAATTCTTACTTAATTAGAACTCCTGAATTTATCTTTCTGTGGGATAGTCTGCTTACTATATCTGCGTGGGTGGTAAAAACAGAAGCTTCGTGGAAGAAATAAGAATCATTACTTATAGTGTTAACCGTGTAGTTGTTTGAGGATGTTGATTTTGTATATTCTCACTACTTGGAGCACTTATGTCCTAGAGCTGGAGTTGGCACCTTATGGTCTGTGGGCCAAGTTCAGCCTACAAAGAAATTAGATATGGCTTGGGGGCAGGGAAGGGCAATGATTGGTGGTACATAGCAATGGGAGCACCTTCTCTGTCCTGTGCCATGCAATCCTCTGCCACATGCCACTGATCCCCTCCTCAGCACCCGAGCTGCCTGCTGTTACCCTGCCCTTGCCTAAGGCTCTTTTTTCACTGTGCTATTGTAGTCTCCATTCACCCATGTCACTGAATTTTTCTCTCCCCTCATAGCCATTAGCCACAGGAAACAATAGCTCTTGGTGGTGTGGATAAGTAGGGGTTGCATTAGAGGGTGCAAAATACAGCATGCAGCAGGAAGGGCTGGGGTGCTGTGGAGTGGATTTGTGGCCTAAAAAGTTGCTGACTCATGTCCTAGAGCCCTGAGGTTTAGCGAAGGAACTGAGGCAGAGTGTCTCTGTGTGCCTTATAATGTCTCCAGTTAAGGAATTATTTGAGAAGGCTCTTTTTTGGTAGCTGTAGGGGTTGCTGTCCAGAAGGTTCTCAGAGCTTGAGTGCTGAATGGGGAGAGCAGTGTACAAATGTGAGACTAGAGTCTGCTTGGGTAACATTCTGGCAACCCAGATTGGAGTTGACCACATCACTGGAGTTTATTGGTTTGTCTTTTATACAAAAAGTATTATTAATGACCAGAATGCATTAGCAGATGCATGACAAACAGGTCCAAGGAGGTGATGCTTCCCCGCTAAGCCTGACCAGTGCTGCAACAGTTGGAGTACTGTGTCCAGTTTTGGGCACTGCACTTCAAGAGGGATGCAGAGAATCCTGAGAGGGTCCAGAGGCGGGCCACTTGTGTGGTCAGAGGCATGCAGGCAAGGCCCTATGAGGAGAGACTGAGGGACCTAGATCTCTTCAGCCTTCACAAGAGAAGGCTGAGAGGTGATCTTGTGGCTGTCTATAAATTCATCAGGATTGGGCAGCAGGGAATAGGAGATGTTCTATTTACTAGGGCATCCCTTGGAGTAACTAGGAATAATGGCCACAAATTGATGGAGATCAGATTTAGGTTGGACATTAGGAAGAACTTTTTCACAGTAAGGGTTGCCAGAATCTGGAATGGGCTTCCAAGGGAGGTGGTGCTCTCCTCTACCTTGGGGGTCTTCAAGAGGAGACTGAACAAGCACCTAGCTGGAGTCGTCTGACCCCAGCGCTCTTTCCTACCCAGGGCAGGGGTTCGGACTCGATGATCTACTGAGGTCCCTTCTGACCCTAGCACCTATGAAACTATAGAAGTAGTCAGGGCTTCAGTTTTCCAGCTGCTTTAAAAGAACCTCCTCTGTGGTATTCCAGGGACTTTTTACTAAGCAAGATGACTATATAAAAAAAGATACATAATGGAACAAGTAAAACATGTAACATATCTAATAATATTTGTGTTAGGAAATTTTCATTTTCTTTCAGTGGCTTCCTGAGTTGATCTGGCTAATAGAAACTTGAAAGCCAAAGTTTTCTTTTATGTTCCTTAGTTAGGCACTTGAATTTATTTCTCTAACTTTAGGCAGCTTTGGCAATTCTAATTGAACTTTTTAATTGTGTTACTTATAGTTCGTTCTTTTCTAAAAGATGAATATGATATACTATCTAATTGGGAGATTGTTTTCTCATTGACATGTTGGTAAGGCGTACAGCTAAATCTAAGAAATATTACCTTCATGGAACTGAACAGCAAATGAAGAGCTATAGGAAGACTTGGAACACATTTTAAATTTGAGTAATATATTTCTTTTTACAGCTTTAATAGCACATCTTTGCAAATGTCATTTATTCTTTTAATCTCAGGAGAAGAAGGCTGCTTTGGAGAAGAAAAGAGAAGAAAGGATAGCTGAAGCTGAGATAGAAAACTTGACAGGAGCCAGGCATCTTGAAAGTCAAAAACTTGCTCACACATTGGCAGCAAGGCAGTTAGCAATTAAGCAGATTCCATCAGATGGCCACTGCATGTACCGAGCTATTGAAGATCAACTCAAGGATTGCCAAAACTCCTGGACTGTTGCAACCCTGAGAAATCAAACTGCAAAGTATATGCAAAATCATGTTGATGATTTCCTGCCATTTCTAACGAACCCCAATACAGGAGATGTGTATAGTCAAGGTAAGAATTCTAGTTTATTAAATGGCTTTTAAAAATGTTGTGATATAAATACTACCAGTAGTTTTGGAGCTTAGCATTATTAGTTTTCTTGATGAGCTAGGAGAAGTTGCAACAATCTTCAAATTGGGCTTCTGTAGTCTAGTGCAGACAGAATCATAATCTGATTTCTAAGTAGGTAACTGCTTTGAAAGTGTATAATTACACCTGTAGGATATATAACTTTTACCTGGCTATGCAAGATCTCATCTACCCAACAGAATCACTTATTGTTTTGAATTGGTGGTAATGGTGTGATAACCATGTCTTTTGAGTTAATGTAAACTGTAACGTAGACAAAATATATAACATGATGAAGTTAATTTGCAGACAGTTGAATTCTTAGTCTGAATCTTTTCAGAAAATATGCACCTATTGATCAAGCTCTCTTGGGAAGAAACTTAGTATAATTGGTGTCAGCGTGAACTTAAGGAAGTCATTGTCCAACAAATTCCTGTCCTGTTGCAGAGTACATTTTTGCAGATGCTGTAGATTTTAATATTGAGGGTTGATCTTTGCAAAATGCTTGAATCCTAAGTACTGTAGTTGCAAGATGTGAACATATCACATTTTCTTAAGGACCTGCTAAGATGTCAGTTGCATATTAGTATTGCTGTATAGCCATCCATAGGTGCTGTCTTCTATTAGGTTACGTTTCTTTTTTGTAATAGGAAAGAATTAAATACATCTCCTGTTTTCCTCATATCTTTGTTTACAGTATCCTGGTTGGAAAGTCATATTGATGTTTTTCATTTGTTGAGTGACTATGAATTGGGCACATGTCAAGAACTGCTTTGTTTGCTGTCAGTCCATTTTATGTCTCTCTAAGGAGGATGCTTCAACCAAGAAAATGATTCATCTTGGAGAGTATAATAGTCTGTTTGTCTTACTCTTCACCACAAATAGACTCAGTAGTGACAGTTTTTAAAGTTCTCTGGATTCTAAGCATTGTTTGTTGAGAAATAACCCAACTGGTTGTGGAGAGAGAGTTTGGGAGGAGAGGCAGAACTGCAGTTAGTTCTGAAACTTGCAAAATTTACCTTAAACCTAGCTAGCACAAAGGCAAGTTAACCATTTGAGGAGGAGGTTACTGGCCCTGTTGCACTCTTCTCCAAAGCTGTGTCTACTGCAGTTTAAAAGAACAAAAATATTGTGTAGTAGTAGAGGTGCACCAATAAAAGGAAAATTGACACTATTGGCAATCAGCTTTTTTTTGGCTGATGTCGCACTTTTAACTTTCCTGTCTCTTGTGTCTCCTGTACATATTATCAACCCTTAGGTCATTTAGTCCAGCCCACTGCTCAAAGCAGGATCATCCCTGAGTAAATCTTCAAGTATCTGTCTAACCAATTTTGAAAATTTCCAAGGCTTGAGATTTCACAGCCTCTCTGGGTGTCTTGTTCCAATGTTTAACCACCCTTATAGTCAGAAAGTCCTTAATATCCAACCTAAATTTCCTGTACTGTATTTTGTGGCTTGCTCCTAGTCCTGCCCTTGACAGTCACAGAGAATAGTCTATCTCCATCGTCTTTATAATCATCCTTCATGTATTTGAAGACTGATACCAAATCAGTCTTTCCTTTTCCAGCCTAAATTATCTTAGTTCTTTTAGCCTTTCCTTGTAAGTAATGTTTCACAGACTTCTTATTTTTGTCACTTTCCACTGGACTCTAATTTATCCACTATTTTGATGTGAGGGTACTTGAACTGGCCACAGTACTCTAGCTGAGGCCTTATAAGTGCTGATTAGAGTGGAAGAATCACTTTTCTCAACTTTTCAGTTGGCGCTTCTGTTAATATAACCTAATATGCTATTGGCCTTTTCTTGTAGCAAGATCATACTTGGCTCATATTCATACTTCAGCTAATGGCTCACTGTAACCCATACCCATTTCTGCAGTATTGTAGCCAAGCTTATCATGCCCTAGCTTGTATTTGTGCACATGATTTTTTTTTCTGTTCTAAGTACAGGACTTTGTATTTGTCCTTGGTGAATTTCATCTAGTTGATTTTGGAGCATTTCTCCAATTTGCGCAGGTCATTCTGAATCCTAGCCATTATTTTCCAGAGGAGATGGAACTCTACTCAACATGGTGTCATCTGCAAATTTGCTAAGGGTTCAGCATACATTGTTTGAATGCATTTTTATGTCATCTTTGTCTACCTCTACTAACTAATTTTTTTCTAGCTTATACTAGAACATGTAACTTAATAATTTTAATTCCTTGCCTGCTTTTCATTTTTCAGTCTGTTTTTATACTGCCTTGAATATTTTCCCTTGTACTGTGTCCTATTCTTTTTAATCAATGCATTTTTTCTTAAATATATTTGTCCACTGACCACATCTGGGTAAGAGTTTTACTGACAGGTTTACTGAACTTGGGTTTTTTTCCCTGCAGAGGAGTTTGCAAAGTACTGTGATGACATAGCAAACACAGCTGCATGGGGCGGTCAGCTGGAAGTGAGTATGGTGATCTTTTTGCTGATGAAACTGAAATGAATGACAATGAATAGATTTTATAAATAAATTGTAGAATTGTTCCCACTTCACTTATGTGGGAACAAAAAACACTTTTGTTTTTAAGCTCTTGCCAATGACGACACCAAGTCCAGCAAGGTATTAAGTGTTTTAACCTCTAGAGACTTTTCTCCCATTCCAACTGCTGCAGGTTTGTCAGATAGTAAAAACCAAATAGAAGCCAAATAGCCTTTATTTGCTGTCATTCGGCTGGTCTGGCCAACTGACAGAGGATAAATGTCAGGGTACAAAATCCAAAGCGCTCCCAAGAACACGCATCTTTATATATACACTCTTCTTTGAATCATCCAATTACAAGCTGACATATGGATGCACAGCTAGATATTCCTTTCTCTTGCATATCAATGCATTACCTTTTCAGTCCTTTTCAGTTTCATATCCTTTGACTGCATTTTCACTTCCACGTTGCTTAGGCATCTACCTTGATTGAGGAGATACTGAGGGTATTTACAGTCAGTCTTAAACACTCAACTCTTTGAAACTTCCCAGTCATAGGATATTTAGTACATCCTTGTTACATCTCCCCAATCTTGAAGCAGCCAACGCTGTGTCAAAATGTGATTAAATTTTGTAATTTAATCTGAAATAGTTTTGTAGTTCATTTACCTTTGGTATTAGAAGTAGACAAGTTTCTCTCTGATTCTATGCTAGCATACTGCTACATTTCTTTCAACAACGCAAAGTAGTGGTGAATTCAGACAATATTTTTAAAAAAGTTCTACTAAATTGGAAGAACTTACTTAAGTTTTATTAAAACCTAGTTTCTAATAAACCTCTAAATTCTGGCGTAAAATAACCAGATAATATGACTTTTTGAGAGCTAAGATTTTTTTCATGAGATTTGATTCTATTTTTCTGTGCATTGTTTTCCTGTCTTAAAAGCTGCGGGCTTTATCACACATTCTGCAAATGCCAATTGAGGTAATGCAGGTGGATTCTCCTCCCATTATTGTTGGTGAAGAATATTCAGGCAAACCAATAATACTTGTGTAAGTAGATATTTTTACTCCTACTTTTTTTTTTTTTAACAATCTTTGGGCTTTTTTCCACAGAAGGTGAGATTAATGGTTCGTGTAACTGCACCATTTTTTTAATGATGTTGCAGCTCAGAAGGGTGTCTGCAGTACTGAAAAACACCGCTGCATGTTTGAAATTCCCCAAACCTTGTGACTGATCTGGGCGTATGGACCACACTTTTAGAGTGTGTTACAGCATAATTTGCCTTGTAGATAATCATAAAATGATTGTCAGTAAGTCATAATGGAAAACTGTTGCACGGCCATTTTTGGTCAATAGGCTGCTGTTAGGCTTCATTGTTTAATCAAAAGTTGATTTTCACACAGTTGTAAGTGGGTTCAATGTACTATTTTATACAAAATCTGACACATAAATAACATCAAGCTTCTTGCATTGTTTCCAGGGTGGGTGGCCGAGTGTGTATGTATATTTTTTCCACGCTGTCTTGAACTTTCAAATTTCCCAAAATTACCTTTCAGTAAAAAGTGGACTTGTTAATTTATCTACTGTATAGTTGAAAGAAGGATAATGTTTTAAAACACCTTTTTTGTTTTTCAGGTATATGAGACATGCCTATGGATTAGGAGAACATTATAATTCTGTAAAACTGCTAACGGACACTGCTATAGAAAATGGTAGCTAACATACAGAGGTCACAAGTCTACAGGGGTAGTGATTGTATATTGCAACTTTGGGCTCTGGATAGTTCCCAAACAGATTGGAATATGATACTACCTGGAATGATTTTTTTTTTTTTTTTTTAAGAAAGGCACGCAATTATTAGATACCTATGAGAAATAGCTATTTATAAAGAGTACCTCGATATATTGATGAAATTATGTTTTAGAAAATCTTATTTAAAGTTTTGGCATTCATCAGAATAACTTGGATATTATATGCTTGGTTTACACAGCACTTCCTGCCACAGTGAAAAGATCAATAGTACATGTGGATAGCCTGCTTATTCTTACTTCTGTGCATTTCTTCTGAAGATTCACAAGCTCACATTAAATAATTTTAAGTACTTTTTGATAATCATGGAGATTGTATCAAGGCATGTAAAATACTTTAACATTAGTATTCTAGAGCATGAAGTGATGCTAGAGATACTATTTCAATAGTCCCATCCAGACTGAACTGAAACATTATAATGGTGAGGACCCTCCTAATACCTTTATTCAAGTAAGAAATGAAAACGAATCCAGTAGTACGAAAAATCTTAGGTTCATCTGATTCAAAGGATCACAAACCAAATGTTTACTTTAACAGGCTTTCATCTTAGTCTTGTAATCAAGGTTTAAGAATTTTACTTTTTCTTCTGCAGCTGGCTGATTCCTTAAATATTTTATATTCGTTTCCATAAATAATCTTATAGGAGGAGAACTGCTATTCATGGCTATAGAAGACAGCAATTGGGTGAAAATTAGCAATTGCACTGCCACCTTTTTATCCATTTTGCAGTCTGAAATGCAGTATTTTAAATCGTATGCAGCCAGTTGCATGCTAGAGGAAAAATAATTAGGTTAACATTTGATACATTATAATGTTAAAGAAACCAAAAAAGGAAAACTTGCTTCTCTCATTTTTGTTCCTGTTGTTTGCCATGCTTAAGTTTTGTTTAATGAAATAACTTTGTGCTCTTGCTGGAAAATATGTGGATGAGGACTTTCAGGAATGCTGTTTTTAAGGCATTTTTAACACACACAGAATATTTGATTTTGTGTTTCGTAGCATACAGGTTGCCTGGTAAATCAAGCGTTAACCAAACAAAAAGTATAGCGGGTCTGTATTCATTTGATATTTATTTTAACAAGTGGATGAACCCAGTTCCTTTTGTCTTGGTCACAGGACTCAACCTTCTGCTTTGCAAAGCTAAATGACATTGAGCTTTACCACAGTAGGTCAACAATATATAGTTTTAAAATTGATGTCAGAGGCAATTCATATTGTTTGCTGTAGGTAGCTGGTGAAAAATCTTCAGTTAATCAGCTTTTATTCCTGCTTCAATCTAAAAGGGAGGTGTGGGTGGAAATGATATCTAAATTTGGAAATGGCTGTACCAACCGTTTGTCCAATTTAAGATGTTTACAGCTTGTATAGAGCAAAATGTTTAATTAAAGTGAGCAAAGGGCATTTGCTCATATTGTATGGAACTTGCCAAAACTAATAAATTGGTAGAAACTTTCCTTTCAATTGAGTTTTTGACAAGTTAGGGGGAAAATGTTTAATGAAGACACAATTTCCACTTAACAGTTTGTCTTGAAGTAAATCATCTACTTTGGCATTCTTTAACACACTACTTCCTGTTAGTGATAAACTTTGATTTTCAGGTCTTTCATGGTCCTACAGCTTCTCTTCTTCAACAACCACTATTAAACAGCAAAGCTGTAATGTTAAAAAATAGAGACACAACAGTATATTTTTCTTCTATTTTTACAACAGTTTTTAGTAGAGTTGCATCAGTTGCACTTTCATAAGCTTTTTCAGTAGAGTCCTCCTTGGATGTGTTGTTGCACTTTCCCTCAGTGAAGTATAGAATCATAAGAAAACAGAGCTGGAAGGGAACTCAAGAGGTCATTTAGTCCAGCCCCTCCCCTGAACAAGGCAGGACCGTCCCTTTCTAAACCATCCCAGCCAAGTGTTTGTTTAACAGCTCCTAAAATCATCCAATGATGGAGATTCCTCAGCCTTTCTAGGTAGTATGTTCCAGTGCTTACCCACCCTCCTACTTAGGAAGGTATTTTCTTAATCCAACCAAATTTTTATTTGTAATTTTAAGATTTCCTAATCCTGTCCCGCGCAGCCACACAGAACAGCCTATCACAGAGGTCAGCAACCTATGTCCTGTGGGTTGGGTCCAGCCTGTGAAGAGCCTGGATCCAGCCAGCAAAGGTCTGATCCAATCCAAGTGTTAAGAATGGTATGTTGATTCCCCTACTTCTGCCTGATCCAGACTATGTCTTATTACTGGAGGGTCCATTCCTGTTGCTACTCCCTAAGGAGAGCTGGTCTTTTGCTCCCTCCCCTCCTCTGCTACCTTCTCTCTCTCTTCCCCCCCCCCCCCCCGCCCCCTCCAATACCCAGTCTCTATTCACCTTCACTGCTAAATTAGTCACTCCAACTTGCTCACAGCACTTTCCTGTTTTACTTTATCTTTTAATTTTCACTGTAAATTGAAGGATAACCATGTCTCTTGAGACTTCCATAAGAGAGCTATGGTGGAAAAAAAAACTGTCCTGTTTCATTTTACATATTCATTTGATCTTATTTTAGCTACATTCCTTAAACCATCTGAATATGTTTGTATTGTTGATGTCCCAGTCTTCAGATACCGGTAGAAAGTTATCACGTCCTTTTGTAGCCATATTAGCCAATTTAAACATTTTAGCTCTTCAAATCATTATGCTTAGACCCCTAAGCAATTACTTACGTTTCCTTCTGGACAGACCTTTTGCTTTTGATAAAATTACAGTAGTGATTGAAGGGACTGACATGTATGTGAATTTCAGTAAAGCTTTTGGACTTCAATGAAGTCACACACAACCTGTTTTTTGGAAATCAGATTAGTGAGAGTTAGGGATGCTTATGTGATTAAAAATTGGTTTCTGGGCTAAAATGCATTTTATCTGAAGGGGAGGTGAGTGGAACAGTCAGTGGGGCACGTTGGTGTCTTATTACAAGGGACGATTCTGAAAAATGAAGAGCGACCAGAACATTAATGAAATCCAAACAGTCAGCTTGCCACAGGTGTTTCAGTGCCCTTTTGGCGCTATGCTTCTTGCTTGGATATATTAATAGTTGGTTGTGGCTGTTGTGTCCATCTTTGGGAGAGGGGCTACAAGGAAGAAGAACCAAAACTTTGGGTTTTGCAGGCCCACACATATAGCTAGGAGGGGTGTGACTGCAGGGTCGTTAAGGTGTCCAGAGGCAAGACTTCACGCTCCTGTTAAAACTTGCCCCTACTCAACCCAACTGCAGAAATGCATCCGATGAGGTGGCCTGGGGAACTGAAAGCAGCCAGACATGAGACTAAGCAGCCTGGTCGCTGCAGAAGCCAGACTGAAAACGACACTAGACCAGTGGGATGCCCCAAACCTGGTGGCTGCTCTGGGGTGACGGTGTCCTGTGGAGCCGCCAGAAGAGTGCGGTACCAGTGCCACTTCCCTGGTGAGGCTGTGCTGGTGTAGGACATCTGGTGCTTAGTTCTGAGGAAGGGACCTTAGTAGGATTGCCATCATGAATGACGCGTGCCCCTGGTGGCTGGGGGGGCACAGCAACAGCAGGAGAGTGGCAGTGGTAAGCTGGGAGCTCCTGCAGACGCTGCCAGTACTGTCGGCGGTGTGAGGAGAGCTGGGGGGTAGCTAGTGCCGACCAGGGGTGCCAGCAGCGTCGACGGCAGCCAGCAGCGATTCCTGATGGCCTGCAGATGCTGCCAGCAGTGCCAGTGGTGAGTGGTGACTGCCCGCAGCCTTTTTGTAGGGGGTGCACTGCCACGCTCAGGGGACGCATGTGTACCCACGTGCACCCACTACGTGTTGCCAGTGATTACCATATGGCCAGGTTTTCCTGGACATGTCCTCTTTTTGAGTCCTCTGATCTCTGCCTGAGCAGTTTTTTAAAATACTGTCTGGGATTTTGCTCTGCTCTGCCGGTGTGAGCAGGGGGAGAGCAACTGGAGGCAAGGGTGGCGGCACTGGGGGAAGCTGTCCTGGTGCTGGGGCTGCAGCAGGGCAGGGGAGGTGCCCGTCCTCCAGTGGGGTGAGGGGGTCCTTTGAAGGCAGTGGGGAGCTCCATGGCGGGGCAGGTGCCTCTGCTTGCCAGGGCCGGGTGGCCCCAGGAGATGCTGCCCAGGGGAGGGCGGGCGTGGGCAAGCCTCCTGGCATGGTGCTGGAGCCCCAGCCCAAGGCAGGGGTGCCACAGGCATCCTCCCCTCCAGCCTGCGCCAGGGATGGAGTCGCTCTGCTGCTGCCCCCACGAATTGGAGCTGCTGCACTGTCGCCTGGTCGGGATGGCAGGGCAGAGCTGTGGGTCAGGAGTGCAGGCACTGGCAGTGCCAGGGGGCTGCAGGTTGGGAGTGTGTGGCACCAACATGGGTGGGGGTTTGGAGGTTAGGCGCTGGCGGGTGCTGCGGGTTGGGAAGTGAGAGGCAGCAGCAGGGACGGGGCTGCGGGTTGGGTTGGGGTGAGGTGTCCCCTGACGGGGGTCCTCTCTTTTTGGATCTGGAGCGATGGTTACCCTAGCCCTGAGGCACCCATGTCCTCCCCAGGCTTGCAGCTGGCCCAGAAGACGCCCCCTCCCCATCTCCTGGGGTTCCTGGCTGCCTGGGGCTCTGCACCCGTGTGAGGGCGGCGGGGCGGGCGAGCTCTGCCGTGGCACACGGGGGTCTCGTGCAGCTCCTGCGAGAGCCGTGTCGTATGCGCCCGCGGGAGAGCGCGTCACGTGACCCCTCCC